CGGGTTTTGAAAAAAATAAATAAAAACAGATTGCGTAGTTTAAAATGAGGAACAAAATGCAAAGATTGAAAACAAGGTGGAAACCAAGTAAAGATGACTTCAAAACGAGTGAAACTCAGACCAAATGTTGTGATTATTTTGGTATTAGATGACTAGAGTGTTTTTAGTCACATTTAATTTAGGAAGAAATCTCTGTTTTTGACAATAGAGGCGTAATACAAGACTCAGCTCATTCAGCAGCGTAAGAGAGTAGATCTGAAGTATAAAAGACAGCTGGAGCAAAACTGATTGAACAGTGAGCCTAAAAAACAAACCTTTTACTGCATATGTGCGCGCCATCCATTTTTGTTTTCTGTAAACAGAGAAATGTTGAGATGATCAAGAACGGACTTGTCTCTGTGGTCATGGTGAATATTTCAGTTTTAGGGAGTGGTTATAAATATTTGAAACGCAACATGAAATATTACAGAGATAAAACATTTCATTAATTGTTATACTCTCAGGTTAGACCAACCAAATCCATTATGGTGGTCCTAGAATCTTATGACTGGATCCTGGACCTGAAGAGTTGACAACGTCTAACTCCATTCTCCATAATAAAACGTATGATCACATTCAGCAGGTACTGGAGCTGCAGCGGCTCAGTCAACGTGCTGTGTTCTTGTCCCTGCCATCTGTAGAAAACAAATAAATAATATCTGTGTGTACGTCTTATCACTGCACATGCAAACATACTGTAAGAAAACAAATAAATAATATCTGTGTGTGCGCACATGCAAACATACTGTCTGAGAGCTCCTGAGGCGTGCTTTCATCCCTTGAGCATGATCTCCAGGTTGTAGTAATATCACTGAATAACTGCTGTAGTATCTGATCCTGTGTTGTTGACGAAAGGTCAAAATCCTGTTTTATTATCCAACGTTTAGGAACCTTTTGAAGGAGAGCCATTCGAATCTGATTAAAGATTGAAGTGTGTGATTAACAGTAACAGTTATTTCTCAGTGACTCGATTTCTCAGATTAAAGAGCATCTTCAGTGTAGTAAATACATTTTCTAGTTTCTTATTTTTGAGGTTTACATCACACACACTGGTCTGTAAACAGTGAATGTACCTCGACACCCTGTCGTCCTGTGGACCTGTGGTTAGTTTAGGTGCAAATTGAAGAACAACAGAACAGGCACATCTTAGTTTCAGGGAAGTGTTGCAATCACCGCTCTGTGTGTGTGTGTGTGTGTGTGTTCTTGCTCATCGGGGCCTCACCTCTCTGTGAGGCCCAGCAGTAATGTTCACTTTCAGTAGTACAGCCCTCCGAGCCCCTTCACTCATGCAGCTCCCCCCAGCACAACACGAGTGCCTGTTGGTGCCTGCAGCTGACGAGAAATTACAGTGGATCAGAGCCGTGAACAGATGTGAAAATGAAAGTTTCTTCACTTTCTGTCTCCCTCTTTGTCAGTGAGAGCTACTGTACGTGCACTGTCCAGTCAACTGGATGTTGATTTAAATTTAGGACTCTCATGTGACTCCGCCGTGCATGATTTGCATCCTCACATTTGGCCTGATTTATGGCGAGCACAACAGAACATGTTCATCAGGGTGTGTGTGTGGAGGCATAAAATTTGACATGCGTGTGACGTGTTGGGTCGTGGTGTTATGACCGCTGATGTCAACGTGTTGTTTACTGTGCTACGGACGTCTCTTGTTCACATTTGAAGCACGTTGTAAATTTCACCATTTTTATCACTTATTTGAGAGTTGCATTGTTTCGACGTCAGGCTTTTATTCTTCGATTAGCGACGAGCAACAAATTGACCAAAGATTGTTAATCTGTCATTTTCTCTGTTCCTGAAATGGACACCGTGTCAACTTTGACTCCACTTGATTACGTTCTCAAAGTACACAAAACCACTAAGAACTTTGACAAATATTATGATGTATTCTTTTACTTGGTTTAATTTATAAATCAATAAAAATAAGAAAAAATAAAATAAAATTTCAGTCCAAAACATTGGGTTTCTGATGCAATTTGTTTTACAGAGTTATGACAGTAATATTTTGACTGTACTGTCTTATTTTGGGGATTTGTTTTTACTCCTCCAGACTTGAATTGATTGATTATATACTTGAAAAAAACATTGTTGAAAAATTTCCTGACACCTTAAAATCACTTTACTTAAAAAAAAGCACATTTTTAATAAATAAACAATTAACTTGTCAAAATATTTAATTAAGAATGTTGAAAAATTTCCTGACACCTTAAAATTACTTTACTTTTTTAAAAAAAAAACACATTTTTAATAAATAAACCATTCATTTATCAAAACCTTTAATTAAGAACAATTCAAGGATTGTTATCCTTTTTTAAAATGTATAATTTAATAAAAACAAGACCACAGTTATTATCTGTATACGTATTTTCACATAATTTCTCTTATAAAGTGTTAATTTTATTTTAAAAATCCATGGTCGTCCTGCTGTAGTAACAGGGATAGAGTCTAATGGCATGAGCCAATAGAAATCTGTTCCTCTAATGACCCTAACGGCTGGTTTGTAATGCCATTGTGGTGTTTGGCCGTCTGGCTCAGAGTAGGTGACGTATGAGGAGCCAGCTTAGTTGCTGTAGTAACCTTTGTGTTGTCTACCAGATTTTTCTTTCCCTCCTAATTCTGTCCTGCACCTGGTTTGTTTTGCCTGATTTGTGTCCGTCGTTGCAGACTAAACTCCGTCACCTTCACTGCCACAACAAAACTTGTGTATGTGCCTGTGGGGTGGTGGTGGTTTTTTTTTTTTTTTTGGTTTTTTTGGAGTTTTCTTTTCCCTCTCACTTTTGCCAGAGTTTTGTTCCTAAACTAAGTATTCGCACATGGTGAACTCAGCCTGGCCAGTTCTTTCTCCGCTTTAAAATTCCTCACTTACACACCAGGGCTGCCATGTTCCAGTTTCCAATGCGAGCCACTATTGGTACGGCTGGAGTGTATTAGATTTTCTATTGGGAATGTGGTGCTAAAAATACTGGGCAGGCTGAAAGTGTACACTGATAGGAGTTTGGACTCGCTGCCCTGTGATGGCTTGGCTTCTCCACAGGGTCACTCAGTCTTCAGCTGCGTCCACACAATCACTATCTCCCTGTATTGTGTGCTGACAGCGTTCTCGGCTGATAAACAGTTTTCTTTGGCCGTGCGTGTGGAATCTTAAAGCCTTTTGTTGTCACTGTTTTCCTAAAGAGTCCGTTACTCTGCAGTCCGCTGGCTGTGAACATGTTGAAAGTACAGTTTGTTTGTTTTGTTTTTTTGGAAAAAGTGCACACCTACTGAAGGCAGTAGGATTCAGGTTGCTCTCAGTTGGCCCTAGTTTTAAACATGTGTTTTGAGATACTGTTCGTACGTATTTCTAGCTGGCATCATACATTTTCTGTTCAGGCCCAGTGATTGGACGGAGTCTGTGTGCATAGGTAAAGCAGTTGTCTGGTACCGTTACGCAACAGAAAGTGTAAAATGACTCTGTGCCATAAAGACCTGCACGCCGCGCTGTTATGTCACCTTCCCACAGGGCTAACCAGTTGGCCTGATGCGCCCATCTCAACGGTGGGTCGCTGGGTAAACAAACACAGCTCTCTCACCAGGCAGCACACCTCCAGCTGCACCCGTGACTTGTGAACTGTAAAACCGGGCCTGGAATGTCCCGCGATGCACCTGCAAAAGAAAACAGCTTTATGACCACCATTACTTTATTGCGTTATGTCACAAGCACATGCGTGTGACAAAGAGGTTGGCACGTCTCCAGAGAGAGAGCTTAGGAAACCCTCATTACGGTTGTACTCCACTTCCCACATTGCGAAGTGTTTGATATATTTTGCAGAAGTATTCTGGAGCACAGACGGTTCACTGCTCAGCTGCAGCTCAGATGACGTTCAGCAAAGATCTGATGTGTTCCCCTGGTGTCGGGAAACCACTCAGAGTTTTGATAATTTACAAGTTTGCTAAGACTTTCTCAAATATTGTCGGACAAGCGTTTCCTGAGTATATGTATTCAAAATATGAAGGTATCATTTTAAGGTGCAGTGTTTCACACATCTGTTCAACGGCATAGTGAAGGAATTACTCGTTAAATCTGATCATGTGTCTAAGTCACGACTGACAATGTTCCATATCTATTAACAGTCTATTAGTACACCATTCCCACTCATAGTCAAATATGTTTAAAGCATTAGCTATGTTTTTTTTTTTTATGGTTTTGAGTTACAGTAGCAACACACATCATCTCGGCACAACCGAGGATGAGTTCCGTCTCGCCGTGATGACAGCGCTCCTTATTTGATGGTGGCCTGCTGCCAGATATGTGGTTTCTAAACAAAATGTCAATGAAAATAGTCTGGTCTTCATCAGTGTCAGAGAAGCAGCTGCACACTTTTCAGTAAAGTAATCCCTCTAATGACTTGACGACACCTCTTTCTTTCCCCACCTCCTCCAGCCTGTCTAACTTCGTGAACCCTGTTTTTCCAGTTCAGAGAGCAGACGTGTTGCCTAATGTCCTCGGCCGTGCTCGGCTGCAGCAATCAGACGTTAGGAATGTTTTCTCCACATCCAAAAGTCATCGTTGTGCCACTTCGTACAGTGGTACAGCAGTCGTACTGCTGTCCACCAGCCTGGGAGCTGTTACCTCAAAGTACAGCTCTTTTATAGTGGATTTATTTCTGTATACATTTTAAAAAAAGTTCCTCTTTGACACAAATTAAATTAAATTTTTAGTGAATTAAATCTCAACTGTGATACCGATACATGAACGTGCCTTTTGTTTTCACTACATCAGAGCAAAACCTTTTAAAATATAATTTAATCTTATTTTAACCTGGAAATAACAAGTCACTTTTATACATTTGTGATATATATTTTTTTTAAATCTCTTCTATTCTTTATTTCCAATCTTGTCTCTGGATGTTCCCCTTTTTTCTCTTTTCTTGATGGTGTCAAATAATGATGTCCTTCATTTCTTGTCTTCACAGTTTGTCCCAAGCAGGACATTCGAAACAGTGTGACCAGCCTCCAGGCCCTCGAGAACTGCACCGTGATCGAAGGCCACCTGAAGATCTTGCTCATGTTCAGGACCAAGACAGAGGACTTCCGGGGCCTCAGTTTTCCAAAGCTCACGGTGATCACCGACTACCTGCTGGTGTTCAGGGTCTACGGCCTGGAGAGTCTCAGCGACCTCTTCCCCAACCTGACGGTCATCCGAGGCAACAACCTGTTCTTCAACTACGCCCTGGTTGCGTTCGAAATGCTCCAGCTGCGTGAGATCGGCCTCTACAGCTTGATGAACATCACACGAGGAGCTGTGAGGATCGAGAAGAACCCAGATCTCTGTTACCTTTCCACTCTGGACTGGTCCAAGGTTCTGGATTCGGTGGCGGACAACTACATCATGGCCAACAAGAATGACAGGGAGTGTGGGGATGTGTGTCCCGGGGCAGCCATCGGAAAGACCACCTGTCCCACCACGACCATCAACGGACAGTTCAGCGAACGCTGCTGGACTCAGAACCACTGTCAAAGAAGTAAGAATACTTTTGATTTCATTCTATAAACAAAGACAGTAATTCTTGGACGTGAAAAGACGTTCATAAAAGACGAAGCCGTCGGCGGCGGCGGTCACTTCCTGAATTACATGTGTAATATGTGTGTATATATGTATATACACATACATTACATGTATTTACTCTACACATATACACACATATGTACATATATGTATATGTTTATATATATTTACATATACATATAAACACACACATTTGTACATATAGTATATGTAGATATGTGTGTGTGTATTGTGACAAATTTTAATTTTATTTCCTTTAAACTTTGAAAAGTCAGTGGAGTGGAGTCATGTGCTCATGTTTAGGACTTAAAAAGTTCTGTGTGTAAACAGCCTGTGTTCCTAATGTGATCCTACAGTCGACCAGTCAGGCTGTTAGTCTTCACTCGGACTGGGCCGTAGTTCTGTCCTCCGTGTGGAGGAGGTAAAACATGTGCTGCTCTGCCCGTGTCCTGGCTTTGGCAGTGAAATGACGAGCCCACTCGCTGCCGGCTGCCAAAAGTCCAGTGCAATGAAGAATTTTGTGGATGGGTGATGTGTGAACACCTCAGCTCACACCGTTACGTAACGATGTCCTGGACCCATGTCTCTGCCTCTGTGTCTCTTTCATTCATGTGTGTGTTTGGTGTCGCGGCCGTGCACTTTCTACAAAGTTTAGTAAAACCATTTGTTTGCTTTTGCCCTTTCCAGTGAATAGCTGTTTTTTTAATAGCTTTTCCACTTATTACTTTTGGCTTAAGGTAATTTCACTCAGTCATTACAAAAGACTTAAAGACATTTGCAGAGCGGGCCCAGGCGGCTCATTGTCAGATTGTGGCGATGTGGTGAATGTCAGGGTGGATATGTTACATAAAAGCTCTCTTAGCCTATGGTTTTCTAATTGTTTGCCATTTTCTCCTGATGAATCAACAGCAGATGTTCGCTGGCAAGTACTGATCCCCGGCCATGGGACTGCGACGGGCACGGGCAGGGCCTGCGGTCTTGTGGTCTGGGATCTGTGGGTTTTTTTGCCTACTTTCACTAAAGCATGAAAAGAGCCGTCAAGCCCCAGCTCCGACCACAGGAGAGAGAGAGAGAGAGAGAGCTGGGCTTCTGTGCCCTCCTCAGATGTAGTACTTTTTATAGACTGACTGTAGTTCTTAAAGCTGGTTAAATGTTGCACTTTTTCCCCTCTGTTTACCTGCTGCTGCAGTGACTTCATTGTTTTGCAGTTCATGCCGTACTTTTTACAACCTCATTTATAGAAGCCTGAGCTTGTGTAACACTTTGCTACCCCCCCCCCCCCCCCACGTCTTCTGTTGGGTGCTCAGCTTGTTTCAGCCATTTCTCCATACCATTCTTAAATCAAGTCAATATGAGATCCAATCTCTGCTTCTTTAATCTTCACCGATTGAGGAACGTCTTCATCAGTTGTTGTTTTGAGAAAACAGGCAGGGTTAAAAGAAAAAGGAAAAGAGGTAAAATATGGATTCAAATCGAAAGACAAATACACATTGGTACGCAGTAATCATACTTGAAGACCTAAATAATTCTATCACCGCCGTTGGAGGTTAAAGTACACGTTAACTGTGTCTGTATTATAGTTCAAAAAATGTTTCTCCATTTCACAAATTCTTGTACGATCAACATGAAAAAGGTGTTGCCACCACATATAAACACATGCGTTCAAAAAGAACAAGTCATGGTGATGTGGTCAAAGAGTCAGACCTGACAGCAGCTCACACACACACACACACACACACACACGCTCCACCAGGAATAAAACAAAGCTGCAGGACCACAGGGCTTGGCCCAGCTCCTGTGTTTAGACTCTCAGTCCGTATCTATTCCCAGCTCTTTGAACAAAACAGCCTGCACTAATTCCCCTCGCCGTTTTATGGTGGAGGAGGTGCGTCCGTTTGCTTAAGTGGCAAAGCAGGGCTGCAGGAGATGCTCTTTATCAGAGGTGATTAGACCTGACCACAGGCTACACTAATACACTCCTTACAGACAGCTGTCACAACAACAAACACAGACATGCGTCACTGTGTGCAGCAGCTTTGTTGCCTCACCAAGAGTTTTATTTGAGATGGAATTATCAGGCTTTCATGTAAAGAAAAAAATGTTTTTCCAGGATTTAGACAAGTTTTTTTTTCTCTGAAAACACAAGAAAAGATTAGAGTATTCCTTGAACTTTGCCGTACTCAAATACAAAATTTGTATTTTAGGTCATTTCCAAAATTAATTTTAAACTGAACTAGAAAGCTTTATAAGAGTTTATACTATATCTGAGATGTGTTCTTAAAACATTTAGCGTTTACTAAAAAAAAACCAAAACCCCAGCTTTATCTTCCTAAATGTCTTGGATCATAGTTAACGGGAACATTAAGGTTTTAACGTGTAATTTACTGTGAAATCAAAGTGTCAGGCAGTCGTGTAAACTCTCATTCAAAGATAAGAGGCATATGAATTCACTGGCATTTGGGCTGTTGTGTAGCACAACTTGTCAGGCTGTAAGGATGACAGCTCAGTCTGAGACACACTGGCAGCTGAAAAAACTGGCTCCGATTCAGCCGGAAAATCTGCAGCCACCACATGGTGTTTATGACTGCTGAAGTGAACGCACTTGTCCTCAAAATGATTTGGAACCATTTATTTGTGAGACGTACAGTGTGAATGGGAGGAGTCCGGCAGCTGTCCGAAGGATCGGATGTTTTTTAACTTTTAACTCTCAAAACCTACCAGTTAAATGGGATTGTATGTATGCAGTACATCAAAATACACATAAACAGATGCTTAAAATGACTTTTAATCATGTATATTTTATATCAGCGTCTGAAGTGTGGCTCGGTGAACACAGAGTGATAAATCCTGCCGGGACAGACCTTGTCTCGCGCTGGTCCTTTTTGTGGAACCTTTTATGACACAGGTCCTTTGCAGAGCTCTGGGCGATTCCCAATAAACCAGCAGTTATTTCCCAGGAGGCCAATATTTTGCACACATTATTCAAAAGTGATCTTAATTATCTACATCTGTGAGAGATGATGATGAGAAACCCGAGGGGAAGTGTCCTCCGCCACCACTGCAGCTTTCACTGCATTTACATCTGTTACATGTTTAATGAGCTCCCTCAACGTGGAGCATTAGCATACTAATCTTCCTCCCCCTCCTCCTCCTCCTCCTCCTCCTCTTCCCTCTCCTTCTGACTGCTTTGGCTCTCGACTCCCTTGTTCCACGTTTGCACCCGTGGCCTGTGAACGCCAGGAGTGCACGGCTGTTTTGTCGCATGTTGTGACATTTAGTTTATTACCGTAATCGGTGCCAGGTCAGGTGAGGGTCCACTGCCAGATCTAAATTTAATCACTTCACATTTGTCTGTGGGCTAATCATGAGATAAGGTCGGAGATGCCTCAGGGTCAGTGTGTGTTCGATGGCAACACAAACACGAACTGTAAATCTTGTAGAGACATAACTCGCTTGTTGGTGTTTGCTGCCATTGTTTAGTCTTGCTGCTAGGAAACGCGAGCGTGACACGGGCGTGTAATCGTGGATATGAAGACATCAGTCATTCACGTTGGCTGCATCGGAAGGAAAAGAGAGGTCACCTGTCAGGGTAAAAGGAGTGGTCCACGCTCGGCGTTGACCTCCGCTCTTCTCCGTGTTGACGTGGTTGCAGCGCCGCAGTGCTCAGCGGTGCCTCCACGATCCTTTTCCACTCTGAACAATGGAGGTTGTCCAAGTTCTTCCCAATTGTTTCCTGTCTTTGTGGACGTGCTTCCTCCCAGAGGTTATGAATGGACGTGTTGGCCTGAAGTGACGCCCTGGTAGCATTAGACACTTTTATGAGACCAAAATACTTCTGGGTGACCCAGGAAGGTCAGCCGTGCAGGAAGGAAGACAAACTAGTAAATCTGTCTGAGGGGAATTAGAAGGATATTGTTAAACACCTTGATTATTTTTAAGGCCGAAGTGAAACTGACATTGATAGAACCCGTAGCTTTTTTATATTTTTATTTGCCATATGTGGGTTATAAAAAGCCAAAGTGGTGGTTTGGACTTTTCATAGAGTTTACTAGTGTGAATGTTGAGATACATCTGGAAGGGTCAGAACTCCTGTGGTCTGCTGCCTTTTTTTTTTGTTACATTTTGCATTTTAAACTTATTTGCTATTTATTTTTAAACAAGAGAAGCTTTGACTAAAGTTGGCTACCACGTGTGGAATGACAAATATGTCGGAAAATACTTGAGTGGGTATTTTGTTCGTTGACTATATAATCCAGTTAATAGACCTCACTTTGTAGATTAAATGTCAGGCTGTTTGACCTGATTCCTTTTATAGACAACTGCTATGTAATCAGGTATGAAAGTTAAAAAAAATATATCAGATATAAATATATCAGACAAGACCAGACGTGAATATATTGGTCATCTGGTGTCCAATTCACACAGGGTGACGTTTTCCCTGAGCCTCAACAGTTTGCTGGTCAGTATGTAAATGAAGTCTGACCAGTGTCAGATATATCTGTGATCATCTTTATCAAACACGACTCATCCTAAGTTCAGCCCTAATGGACGCTTCAGGAGGCTCATGTCTTTGTGAGAACCACTGGTACTTATAGGCTCAGTGGATCACAGGAGTAAAGGATCTTAAGAGCTAACAAAAAGCAGTATGTGCGCACACACACACACACACACACACACACACTGAGTCCTTTCCTTTGAGCTGACTTAACTGCTCTGGCACTCTGTTCTCTGGAACTGCACCCTGCGAACCCTCGCTACTGGAGCCATTCCCATGGAATCCCAGACATTTCAGGCATTCGTGAAAGCTGGGGCCGGCAGGCGTTTCTTCACCGCTGTACGTGCTCACACTTAGCATAGACGCTGGATTTACAGCATCTCACTTCTGTTTTGCTTCTGGTTTAATCACACAAACCAGATTGTTGTTTTATCTCCAGCGTCACCGGCCACTTCGATCCA